ACTCTCGTCGATTACTCCCATGTCTATACTTTTATAGGGCCAGGGACCCCGGACAGACCCCGGACGGAGCCTCCCCCCCCCCCCCCAAACGAGTTTCGGGCTTCCCCGAGATTTTCGGGCGGTCCCAGAGGCGCCCCAGACGGCCCGAGATACTCTCAAGAGGGGTCCACGAGCGCTCCAAGACAGCCCAAGAGCGCTCCAAGAGACCCCAAGACCGCCCAATACCGTCCAAGGGGGCCCCGAGACGCCCCAAGAGGCTTCCCAAGAGGGAAATGTCATTGTTTTTTGTATGGCTTTCAGAGGTTTTCCTGGTTCTTCCTTTTTCGGGCCAACATCAGCCCGAACTGGCCCAAGAGGCTCCAAAGATCGCCCCAAGATAGCCCAAGAGGCCCCCCAGAGAGCCCGAAAACGATCCAAGAGAGTTCCAAGACAGCCCAAGAGGGCCCCAAGACGGGCCCAAGAGGGCCCCAACAGGGCCAAAGAGGCACCCAAGAGGGCCCCAAGACACCGCCAGGAGAGCCCCACGACGGCCAAAGGCCTCCACGACGCCCCAAGACGGCCCAAAAGGGCCCCGAGACGACCCAAGAGAACCCCAACAGGGCCGGATCCAAAAGGGCCCCAAGAAGACTCCCAAGAGGCCCCAAAACGCTACACAACACCAGGGCTCCCAACGCTGAGCTTCAATGGCACCCCCAGAGGCCTTCCAATATTTCTTTTCCTCCATCCTTCTTCTCTCCGTCTCCATCCTTCTCTTTCCCGTTATCCTCCTGTTCCTCCTCCTTCTCTGTATATTCTCTACTCCTCCTCCTCTCAGCCTCTTCCCAAGTCCCGCCGCCGTGCCAGCCCCGCATTCTCGGCGGTAGTTGTTCGAACCGGTGATAAGGAGCATGATGATAATGATGTTTACGCTGACGATGACGACGGTTGGACGATGACGATGATTGCGATGACGATGGCGAGGATCGGACGAGGATGAATAGTGTGGCGAACGAGAGCCATTTGCATTATCATGGTGATTGCAACCATGCTCATTCTGGCGATGGTGGTGGTAATGATGGCGATGATGCTATGACGACGACGACGACGCTGCTGCTAATGAGGTCAATGTGTACGGGATGTGGGTGATTATGCTGAGGATGATGATGTTGATGATGACGATGACGACGATGTTGATGAAGACGGTTCTGCTAATGATGATCGTGGTGACGATGATGACGATGGTGGCGGTGGTGGTGATGATGATGATGCTGATGCTGGCGCTGATGATGATGAGGCTGATGAGAATGAGGCGGAGGAGGATGAGGATGATGATGAGGAGGAGAAAGAGGATGAGGATGATGATGATGACGAGAACGAGTAAGAGGCCGCAAATGGTGGTGACGATGATGATGAGGAGGAGGGAGCGGAGGAGCCGTCATAGACCTCATTTGGGCCGTCTTCGGGGTGTCGCGGGCCCCTGAGGGGCACTACCGCCTGAGATGCGCATGTGTATGCGCACACATAGTTACACAGACCATTTGCAAATGCATGTACATACCCATACATACGTATATTTGTATGTACATGTGTAGTATGTTCCCATAGGCGCATGTGTGTGCGCATGCACGCACGCACGCACTCCGCTAACGTGCGAAACTTGAAGGCGCGCAGCGCCAATGCAGTCTTGTATTCTATTGCATTATAGTATAGTATACTGTGTTCTGTTATCGTATATGATGTTGTGTTCGATTATATGCTAGTAGATACTGTTATACTATGTCAGAATACTTTTTCTGCTCTACTAGACTCTGTTATATTATCTGGCACCGACTGTACTTCACCTTTTGTTCTTCTGTATACTACCCTACGTTGTGCGTTGTTGATCGTTTTTTCCAAAGGACAGAAGTTCGCGCCATCTGCTCCGACAAAAAAAAATCTCGACGCCTAAGGAAACTCGCGCGCACCCGCAAGCTGAAAACGTTCGGCCCATCCTGGGGAAGCCTTCGGAACGCCCCCGCGTGCCAACACGAAAGTGTATCTCCTTCCTTTGCTCGATGCTTGCAGCCATGTGGGCCAGGCGTTGGGCCATGCACCCTTGACGCCGCGCGGCGGCGGGTCCGCAAGGTGCTTCGTGAGTGCGATCTCCTCGGCCCGCGCCCTGCGATTCAGGCGGGCGCGACCGAACGTTCCGTGCAGGTGGCAGCGGCCGCGGACCTCAGCGTGGAAGGACACGGCGGCCGCTGAGGGAGTTCGTGGACCAGGCAGTAGCTGAGGAGCCAAGGCAGGAGCGGTCGAGGGCGCTCTATGGCTGCCCTGAACGGCCCATGCTGGAGGACGCCGTGACGTGCTTCACGGTGGTGGCCAGCCGGGGAACGCCCGAGGTTTCGCCGCCGCCGGGGGGCCGTGCGCCAGCGGGGTCCCGCTTCGCTCGGAGGTGCCGCGCGGTAGCAGAGGAGAGCCGCCGCGGGCTGGAGGCACAGGACTGGGAACGGTTCGGTGGAAGCCTCGCCTGGTCGCGCCGCTCGAGGCGATGGGAGCGCCCTCGCTGGCGATGGTGCGGTCCTGCATGGGCCCCGAGTGGGCGAAGGACGGCATCGCGGGCCGCCCGCGCATCAACGCGGTGAAGTCGCACGCGCGGGCCATGGAGACGGTGTGCATGTGGCTGTCGCGTGCGCGCGGAGCCCCGTGGCCCGTGACGATCGTGAATTCCATCGACCACGCGCATGCCAGGGCCGCCGAGCCGCGCTGGCCGACAGTGCCCAACCAGGCTCTGCGCGCCATGGCGTGGTGGACAGAGCGCGCGGCGGGCGTGGACCAGAGCGACGGGCTGTCCGCTCGACCCGAAGCCCAGCAGGTCGCCGAGAAAGTGGAGATGCTCCTCGGTGCGGGAAAGGGCCCGACGACGAGCGCAGCACTGTTCCCCAGCGCGGTCGTCGGGGCCCTGGAGCGGTTAGTCATGGACGAGCGCGCGGTGGCGTGGCTCCGCTTCGTCAAGGCGTGGGCAGCGCTGCGATACGACCACAGCGCCTCGCCTTCGTGGGCGGAGGGCTGACGGCCACGCTGGATCGCGCGAAAACAAGCGGAGCGGGGCGCGAGATGCCAGAGCTGCCGCCGGCGGTACGCGGTGAGTGTTTCATGCTGGGCCCAGCATGGATAGAGCCAGGCTTCAACCTGCGGCAGGAGATCGCGGACTTCGAGGGGGACTACTTCTTGCCGCGGTGCGACGACGCAGGGTAGGAGGTGGTCCGCAAGCTGGGCGGTGGCAGAGGGCCCGGAGGTGCCCCGGAGGATGCTGAAGCCAACGGCCTGCGCGGGCGAAAGGATCGAGCTCCTCATCCCCGAGGAGGTCGTGAGCTTTTGGGCAGAGCACTCGGGGCGGGCGACGGCCCCTCCGGCCATGGCGGCGATGGGGGGCCCGAAAGCGAGCGCGATTGCCTGGGCAGGTGGTCCCCGGAAGGTCCGAACACTTGCGCGAGGACGCGACGCGCGGTCGTCTCCAAGCTCCTGCCGCGGTTCGCGGAGGCGCTGCGTTCTGGGAAGGCCCAGCCCCAGATCTGGCGAATTGGCTGGTGCAGAGGAAGAATTTCTCTGCGCAGAAGGCGGCGTGCGTGGCAGCTGGGACTTGCGTGGCCCTCGGTCCGCGCCAGCGGGTTGCCCGCGGCGCCCGCCGACAACGGGGAGTGGCCATGGGGCGCGGCAGCCCCAGAGGCCGCCGTCGAAGATGGAGTCGCGGAAGACGCCGCGCCGCCAAGGGGGGCAGCGACGCCCCCGCGAAGAACGCAGGGGGCAGAGGGCGGCCGTGACAGTACCGACGGCGTCAGCCGTCAGCTGGACGAACGTTCCACAGAAGCGGAGAGCGACAGCCCCCCCGAGAGCAAGGGCGCCGAGGAGGTCGGTAGCTACTTCATCGCGTACACGAAGAAGCGCAAGGTGGCCAGGCTCCACGACGTCGGGGGCTGCGGCTGGGTGTCGGGCAGGTCGTCGCTGAACTCGACCTACTTCGACGATGTGCCAGACCTGAGGAAGCACGACATGGTCTGCCAGAGGTGCTGGCGCCTCATCTCGGCCGAGATGACGGCAGCAGCCGCTGAGAGCGAGGGCGAGGGCTCGGACAGCTCATCGAGCTGCTGTAGCTCCGATGGGTCCGACGAGACCGTCCAAGGAGAGGCAGCCGGCAGAGGGGGCACCAGCGGCGGCGGGTTCCACGCGACCTTTCGGGACAGGAGCACGCCTGCCCAGCCGTGGAGCAGCCGAGACGGTACCAGCAGCAGCCAGGGTCCCACGCGACCCTGCGGGGCGGGGACCTTGCCCGGGCACGAGCCGGTCAGGGGCCGCGCTCGCACGCTGACAGGCGCCAGCCGCAGCGCAAGCGGAATTCGAGCTTTGCGTTCAATTTCGCTTGTTTTTCTTGGGTCGAGCCTCGAATTCTAGCGCGGTGCATTTTGATCGGTATTAGTGTTCGAGTGTTCTCTGGCATGTGTGTTTTGAGCGATCGCCGCGCAAGCAAGAATTTGAGTCTGCGCGTTGAAATATAATGTGTTATTGCTGTCTTTCCAGTTTGACCTTCGAATTCCAGAGCAAATTATTTTGACATATTTAGGTGTTCGAGTGTTTGGATGGGGTTCGGCGCTTGACATAGCGGTTTGAAACCAGGGCCCGCAATATTTGTCAGATTCGTTGATTCCAAAGCACAGCCATAATAACTCGAGACGGATTCAAATAATATTCGCCGTCAATGTTAGATAGGAGCTTGAACTGATTGATATGACTGTTGTCGTCCCGCTTTCACGTTTTTGGAACGTCAGCTACTGTTTCTCCGTGTTTTTCCCGCAGCCCATTTGTTTGGGGGTTTGAAGCGTTTTCTTATGCTTCTAGCCACGCGCTGGAGCGGACTGCTTCTGCCTCGCCGCCGACGAAGCAAAGTTGGCTTGTGCTTCCAGTGTGATGGGGGGGCGACGAGGACGAGGACGAGCAGCGCGAGGTGGGGGAGGGGTCCCGGCCTCGGTGGGCCCTGGCCCGAGGCCAGCGGCCTCGTGGAGAGGACCCTGCAGCAGAGGGAGCTGCGCCCGGGCTCGGCCTCGCCCGGCGATGTCCAGGATCGGGGAGCCTCGAAGACGAAGCCCAGAAGCAGGGCTTCTCAGAGGGGTCCGAGCAGGTCGGGGCCGGAGGATTGCGCCGCATCGCCGACGTATCGGCGAGGCGGCTCGACGTGGAGCCCGGTGTTCTCCACGCCGGCGTCGCCGATGCATCGCCGACGTCGCCGGTGCATCGCCGGTGCAGGATCGAGGCATCGGCGAGGCGGCTCGACCCTCCGACCCCGCTTGGGAGGCCTCTACTGACGGGGCCTTGAGGACAGGAAAGGGCCTCTGGGTCGAAATGGCATGGTTTTGGTCCTTAAGGGCCTCTTCCCATACAATCACTTGGTATCGCTCGGACGTGTGCATTTTTTCTCGGCGGGGATTACGAAGGAGCATCCTGGATCATCCTGCGAAAAAAAAACCACGCACGAAACCAAAGAAAGCGCAGGGGATGGACGTCCGAGCGATGGCCAGATCGAAGACGTGTGCTCAGCATGTCGCGCCGCTGGTTCTCAGCCCACACATGCTTCGGCGCGCCACGCCAAGCACGTCCCGGTCCCCAGGCATCAGCGGCTCAAGCTTCTCCCAAGCCTCGCGTCCCGCGAAGAGGAGCGATACGCTACAGTCGGGGCCCTGAAGAAGGAACCCTTTTCGTTGGGGAGGGGCTCCGCGTTCCTTAAGTGTTTCACAGCTTGCCTCCGGTGTTCCTTATGTTTTCGATGGGAAAATCGAAGATTAACTTATGGAAAAAAGGGGCCCCGTTCCTTATTTATCGTTCCTTAGGTCAACGCCCCAGCTGTACGCTATCAGCCTGCAGGGCATGGCGTGTCGCGGGGGCCGCCGCTGCGAGGCGCTGAGCAGCAGCGGCTCCTCATCGTAGAGTCCCATGTCTCGTGGCCCCAGCAGGAGAGCAACACCCCGACCCCCAGAGCCTCCTCCTCCTCCTCCTCCTCCTCCTCCTCCTCCTCCTCCTCCTCCTCCTCCTCCTCCCCCTCCTCCTCCTCCTCCTCCTCCTCCTCCTCCTCCTCCTCCTCCTCCTCCTCCTCCTCCTCCTCCTCCTCCTCCTCCTCCCTGGCGTGCACAGTGGAGACCCGTGCCAAGAAACACCCTGCTTGCCTCAGGGTTGGGTTTCTCGTGGAAGGTTTCTTGTGGGCCGACCCCCGCTGTGGGAGACGTCTCTGGGCGCCCGCTGAACGATCCCGTCCTGCCGGTTTCCTTCCTCGGGTGTACATTTGCTGACGCAGGCGGCGCGCCGAGGGGGTAAAGCGAGAGGGTGGGCGGGCCGTCTCATCAGAGGCGACGAGAGGGGCGAACAGCCCAGGGGAGAGCAATCCATGTATTCCGGTGCGCCGATGACTGATGTCTTCGAGAAGGCTCCCGGGCGAGTGCGTGTCATGCCCGCCCCTGGGCTATTCGCCCCATATCGTCGCCGCCGGTCTCGGCAGGCGGCGGGGCTTCGGAGAAGGCTTCGAAAAAGCTCCTCGGGAGCCCGGGGCCCTTCGGAGCTCTCCGAGGAGGCCCGCCCGGTGACCGCCCTCTCCCCCTTGGGCCTTAGAAAGCTCCTCAGTCCTCCTCCTCCTCCTCCTCCTCCTCCTCCTCCTCCTCCTCCTCTTCCTCCTCCTCCTCCTCCTCCTCCCTGGGGCCCTTCGGAGCTCTCCGAGGAGGCCCGCCGCCCCTCGTCCGCCTCCTCCCCTTTGGGCCGCGCCGCCGAGAGGGGGCGGCGCCGCCCCTCGTGCCTAGGCCGGGCGCTGCAGCCGGGACCACCTCGGGCTCCCGAGGGGCTCTGCTCGTCGGGCCGTGCCGTAGATCGGGGGCCGCCTCCTCCTCCTCCTACCTCCTCCTTCCTCCTCCTCCTCCTCCTCCTCCTCTCCTCCTCCTCCTCCTCCTCCTCCTCCTCCTCCTCACTCCTCCTCCTCCTCCTCCTCTCTCTCCTCCTCCTCCTCCTGCTCCTCCTCCTCTCCTCCTCTTGCTCCTCCTCCTCCTCCTCCTCTCTCCTTCTCCTCCTCCTCACTGCCCTCCTCCCCTCTCCTCCTCCTCCTCCTCCTCCTCCTCCTCCTCCTCCTCCTCCTCCTCCTCCTCCTCCCTCTCGGGGCGGCAAAGAGGGGGGTGATGACCAGGGGGGGGTGGATATCATGGCGGGGGCCATGATATTTCCTCAGATTTCATGGCGCCTCTTCTTATTCCAAGACGTCCCTGGCCCCCCCGCTGGGCCGCGCACATGCCGCCGGTCATGATTTGCACCCCCCCCCTCTTGGACACCGGCCTCTTGGCCGCTCCCGAGTAGAGATTTGGGTCGGGGAGCCGAGGCGCGGCCGAGGCCGGCCGCAGCCACAGAGGCGCCCTTCGTTCCTGGCTCCTCGTTCCTTGCAGTCGGGCCGCTGAACAAGGAACCCTTCTCGTTGGGGAGGGGCTCGGTGTTCCTTACTTGTGTTGTTTTTGTTCTGGGCGTTCCCTCGGTTTTCCAGGGGCAATCGAGGCTCAACTCGTGGACAAGAGGGGCCTCGTCCCCCATTTCGGGTTCCCCGTGGCAGCAGTTCGACTGTACGGTAGATCGAGGGCTGCACCTAGGGGTGCTTCTTGCGAGGGCGGCTCCCCCGACCCGCCAGGTTGGGTCCGCCCGCCCGCCCGACCTGCCCGCCCGCGCGACCCGCCCGTTAGCGCCCGCCCGCCCGAACCTCCCTGTAGGGTTCGCCTGCTGACTGTTGCTGCTTCTTTCTCCTCCCCCCCCTCTCGCCTCCCTCTCCC